CCTAACGCGAAGTGAAGCCGAAGTAGCAAGAGCGCCGCTTCAAAACAATAATTTTGTCCTATGGAGAGACAGAAGGTTAAACGTAAGCTCTTTTCAGATAGAAAATAAACACCAATTAATCCTTCAGCTTGAAAAAGACCATTAATCAAAGACCGGAAACCATTAAGTTCCAGAGCCCCCGTATACTTAGAAGGATTAGCTGAGAATTCGGCCTTTAATGAATCAAATTCACGTTTGGCCTCTTTTAATGATTCCACAACAGGAGTACGATTAACTGTTGAATTAGTTCTTAGCGGAGCAAAGCAAGTAAATAAGGCAACAAATTCCCCAGATAAAGGAGAGCTTAAAAGAGAATGAGCTCTGACAAGAGAGTCATAAACTAGGTCTGAGGTGGCCGGAGTAGAAGTAAAAAAGCAGAAATTAGAAACCGAAGTACACAAGAGGAATATAGATATACCTATAACGAGGTAAACCGAGCAGCAGATTGCCAGTCCTAAGGTTTGTATTTGCATTGACCCAGAAATGGGTTTCGCCTGAATCCACAGGCTCATCAGAATGCTTATTAAGGTAACAGCGTTAGATCTGGCAGGTAAATTACCAAGAACGGTAGCGGCAATAGGAAGGAAAAGGTCAGGGGGGGGAAATTTTAAACAAGGGGTGGTTCGCCACCACCCCAGTAGTAAATGAAGATATATAACAGCAGCCAAACGACGTCCACAAAATGCCAGTAAAGGATTGCCCCTTCATAGCCTACATGGTGATGATTAGTAAGGTGGTAATTAATCATTCGGAACAAAGCCACTGAAAGGAAAATAGAGCCGATTAGAACGTGAAATCCATGGAAGCCCGTAGCAAAGAAGAAGCAGGTACCAAATGCCCCGTCGGCTATAGTGAAGGTTGCGTTATAGTACTCGTAGACCTGAACCCCAGTGAAGATAGATGCCAAGAGTAGAGTAATCAAGAGGGCGAGGATTGAACCTTGCCGATTCCCTGCTATTAACGCGTGATGAGACCAGGTAACCGTAGCACCGGAGGAAAGCAAGAGAATGGTGTTAAGCAAAGGGAGTTCCCACGGATTGATAGGTTCAATACCTGCAGGAGGCCAAGCACAGCCTAGTTCAACAGTAGGTGCTAATGCAGAATCAAAGAAGGCCCAGAATATAGAGAAGAAGAAGCAGACTTCGGAAACAATAAACAGAATGATCCCCATAGTTAGGCCACGTTGCACTGCCTTCGTATGGTGACCCTGGAAAGTACCTTCCGCTATACAATCCCGCCACCATACCCACATAGTAGTTAGAGTAGTGATCACTCCAATGCTTAATAAGAGTGGTCCGATGGCTACCCCATGGAAGCTCATTACCCCTGATAGAGTAGTAATTAGAAGGGCCAAGGAGGCGCATAAGGGCCAAGGCGAAGGTTGAACAAGATGGAAAGGGTGAGGTTGAATTAACATGTCATTAAAAGCATCCAGCAACACCGCCCCCTAATCAAGCGGTATAATTCTGCCCAAGAATCCTAAGGCTCTAGCTCAGAGGGCAATCTGGTTCAAGGCCAATCTCCCTTCCTCTCCCCGAGGGCTCGGCTCTATCTCTGGGACGCCCGACCCGGCCTCCGGCGAGGAACTACTAGATGCCTTTCGGCATCGCTTCGCAACGAAGTTGCGACGGAGCCCGGGCCCCTGCTCCGTCCTGGACTATCCCTATAGTGTAGGACGCGGGCTCTCGGGACTATCCTGACGTCTCAGGGGCGCTCCGCCGGCCTGGCTCCGGACGTATCCTTAGTGTAAGGACGCCTGGAGCCCCGAGAGTCCTCCCGCCGGCTCCGCGCGGACTCCTGGCGTCCCGCCGAGCGACCGGACTACCCTAGTAGTGTAGGGCGCCGGTCGACTCTACCGGGGTAGACCAGGAGCCAGGGCGGAGACGGAGCTCCAGAGCAGCGGGGGAACTAGCCCGGGCGGGCCCTTTTTTCTCTAGAGTCCAACTCGATACCGCATCATAGAAGGCCTATGGGGAGCGACAAGAGCCTGATCTTTGGGCGTTGCCGTAGCTCCCAGCTAATACTGTAGTTACCAACCTCCGGTTTAGCAATTCGAATACGGTATTGCCCGGTTTACTCTTGAGTAATCTGGCTTTGGCTGGACACCCCGGACGACTGGCGGTGTCTTGTGCGTAGTGGTTGCCTAAAACTCTTAAGCAAAAGTGTTCCTCATAATCTATAATGGCCCCGTTCCTGAGGTTCCCGGTGCCCGTGCCCGTGCCCGGTGCCCGGTGCCCTAAGGCACCTGGCCGGAGGCCTGCCCGCGGATCGGCTTGATCCCCGCCGTTTTTTAGGGGCAGCAGGGGGGGGAATTTTATTCAGGAATTTCAGAGGGTTTGCCTTTATCGGCATAGTTAAGAGCCCCATAACCTAATTCAAAGAGAAAGCCTACCGTTAATAATACACCAAAGATTAAGAAAATCCAAAAGCCGTAATAAGAAATTGAATAGAGCGCCATAGCAAACGGGTAAACAAAGAGTATCTCACAATCAAAAACGAGATATAGAATACCTACCAGAAAATATGAAACATGAAATTTCTGCCGTGCTGTACCTGAAACGCTGAATCCGCATTCGTAGGGGCTAAGTTTGGCTGGATCTGGCTTCTTAACAGCTAGCCTGTTATTAATTAGCAATAAGGATGCGCTCAATAGGGCCAGGATGCAGATAATAATAATCAAGGAACTGTCTCCACTCATTACCAGTAGTAATAGCATAGAGCTATAAGATGCAGGGAGTTTAATGAAGCATAAGGATTAGCTAGGAACAGAATAATAATAAGGGTCAAAGTAGCAATCAGCATGGAAATTAGAGGGTTAACTTCGGAAGCAGAGTGGCCCGCCGGGGATAACAATGGCAATGAAGGGCCCAGGGTTAGCGATGCGGAGGGATCCCGGGCGGCAACCGTGTCGCCCCGGGACCGCCCGAGAGGGTTACCTTCAACGAACAATAATACTCGAATAACTCTAAGGTAGAGCCCCGCAGATATAACAGATACAAGAATAGCTAATAACGCTAAGAACAAGAAGCCAGAGTCCAAGGCTGCCATGACCACCAATAACTTTGCAAAGAATCCTATAAGCGGAGGGATCATCATGTTAATACTTAAAGTAATGAGAATCGTCAGTATAAAAGATCATACAGGTAACCCCTAGCCCTTAATGTGGCGACGGGAGGGGGCGGCGGAGGTGGGAATCCAACCAGGTGGGGAATTTTAAGTCAGGTTCGAGGGCAACGAGGAGGTAACAAAATGGTCGGAACCGTTGTAGTGGAAAGTCACTTTATTTTTCAACCTGTAGGCTATTGTTTTTCGATGAACTTCTAAGGCTTCCGCAGCGCGGCTTTGGTTAGGAAACGAGAGCACGTGTTTTAAGCCAGAGCCGGTAACTTGGATCAAATGTACTAGGTTCCCCTGATTATAGTTTGGATTCTTCTCCCCTGAGTTTACCCCCTTCATACTAGTAGAGATCTTGGTCTTAGCTTCGTCCGAGTGGCTCTTCCCTTTACGAGGTGAGGTCTTCCCCTTCTTCGCAGCAGCCATTTTGGCTTTAGCCTCATCAGTGTGCTTTGCTCCAGCAGGCGACCCTGCAGTAGGGTTAATGTTATAACCACATATACAACCATCAAGGACACTCTGCTCCAGAGCAAGCAACAGGGAGGTTGCGGCACTAGGAAACAAGAAGAGTACTAAAACGAAGCCGTTTAAACCATATTTCCGTAAGGCCCGCCCAATGATACCATGGGCATGGTCTAAAGAAAAGTACTGCTTCATCCTAGAGCGCAGGTTGATCGAAGACCCAACGTACATTTGACCGTTGGTTTTATTTATCCATAAATAGACGCCCCTTACTAACATTACCCTCAGGGTTCAAGGAAGAAACCCAGTATAAAGTACACAGAAGGCAAGATTTCATTCTCTCTAAAGACAGG